CCTTAATATTAAGGCTAAATCCAGACACACTCCAAATGTTTATTCTGCCAAACAGAATTTAATAAATAAATTAATATCCCTTCCTTGACTTGCTTTTGTTATTTTATTTTTTATTATTTTATTAACAGGTCCCCATCAGTCTCTTCAAAGAAGAGACTAATCTTCCTGGGTCAGTGTACACATTTCACTGATAAATAGAGCAAAAACTGGTTTAGGTTTTTACTTATTTATTGTAAACAACCAAAATGTAAGCATGGTGAGCAAGCAGCTTCTGTTTATCTTTTTTTTTTAATTTTTTTAATAAAAGCTTGTTTGTTGTTGCTAATTAATGTTTTTTTTTTAAACTCATCCCGGGGCTGCGTTACAATTAAAATCAATATTTGTTTTCACTTTCAGCAAGCATTTTACATCAAGCCAAAAATAAAATGTTTATTAAAAGTTTTTTTGTCTGCTGCCAAAGCTTGTCTATGAGGCAGAGGTATCACTCTGTRACTTTTGTTGTTCCCACAGGTCAAACAGAGCAACACGATGCTCTCTTTAGGCCTTCACCTCAAATTCCTCCATCTGCTGGGTCTGTAGACTRAAATGCCTTCATGTGACTGTGAACAGCTCTTGGTCCTTTGTGTCTTTCAGGTCTGGGTCAGGTGGGATCGGCTATGATGACTGAATGGATCTGCAAGGTTTCGGATTAGGACTTTATATACGAGTGAGGCATAAAGCAGTGTCCTCCTCAAGGCACACTGCCCTGCATGGTTTAGAGGTCTCCCTGCTTTGACACACCTGATTCAGGTGATTGCAGTTCATCAGTTATCAAYTGRAATTGATCCWTGATCAACATTTCAACCAATGTAGTGAAGGCAAAGAAAATGAACTTGTGACTAAAACAAAGACAACTTTTTTAAACCATAGATGGTGTCCTGGAAATACAGTACTGACCAATATTAACTAATGATATTGTATTTTTTTATAATTATCAGATAACACTGTCTGGCAGTTAAATGAAGTGGTTGGCTGTTGTTATTTATGGTTAGTTTGTATTGTAACAAAGGTGTTTTGTAAAAGATAACGCAAACAAATGACCTGACTGAATGACTGTGATCACAGCAATAAATGAGGTTTTGTTTTTCATCAAACTGCAATGTGAAGCAGTAAATACAAACGATTATTTTTAATTTTGCACTTATCCCCCCCCCCACTTCAGATGTGTCATTTACTGAATATTTTTGGCTTTTCCTCCAGTTGACTGAAGTGTTAGTGTGGGCCAGACAAATGTTGCCATGTGGGATATTTCTACATAAATAACACTTTTAAATAAACACACTGACCCAGCCGTGGGATCAACCTTGAGTTAAGCTAATCAGAGCATTTAAAATCAGCGTTCCAACATCTAATACTCCTTCCCATAATGTGAGCAAATACTGTTTTATATTTTTTCACCTCGTTAGTGTGTTAAATAGTCGTTTACATTGTCACTGGTTTCCAAACCTGACAAGGATGGTGGTCTAAAGCTTTTTTTAGAAGATCACACAATGTTCAGCTGCTTGAAAGCAACATTTTGCATGACTGTAACTGTAGATACTATTTTACTGCCAAGAAAACGTGTAAACATTTTAAATGTTTCTATTTTCTCAATTTTTTTTCTCTCGACGTAAAACAGTGCCAGCCTTACAGTCCCACAGTACCTGTGACAGGCTGTGCAGTTAAATGGTCTCACTTGCCCTTGTGCCCACCTCAGTTTCTTTAATCCCCAACATCAATTTGTGCCGTTTGACAGCACAAACAACCACACACASACACACACACACAACCTGCCACACTGCTGCTCTGAACTTCATTAGCATTCTATTAATAATACAAACACAGTTAGGCACATGACTAACACCCTGACGTGTGAAGTGTGTGTGTTTCTGTGCAAAGAGTGTGTTTGTGAAGGCAACAGTCCTCCAGCAGGGAAACCTGCTTACTGTTTAATTATTCAAACATAAACCTGGATTCACACACACACACACACACACACACACACACACAC